AAATATGTAACGTAGAACGAAACCAAAAAACACAAATAAATTTACACTACCTCCCCGACGGGCTTATCTGTTAAGGTCGGTTCTGCCACAGAGATATTTGAAGCCATTTTTCAAGTATTCTATCGAGTGTTTTGATTGGCCATTTTATTTCGTCTACGTCATAGGTCAGTTCTGCCATGGAGGTCCGTTTCACCACGGCACATCCGAACACCTGTTACGACTTCTCGAATATCGTCCGAAGCGCCCCCGAACACTTTGTCTACGCTGTCTGGCCTTTATTGTTCGGGGGGCCCTGAGTATTTTATAGGGCTGACCTTCATTTTGAGCGTTCGTTTTAGTTCCGTTCAACGAGTGAGAAGATTTATCTTTGCAAAGGTATATTTATCCTACAAAATCTATCCCTTTTTTGACCCATCCGACTTTAAAATTATATCCCTTTCATTGTTTACGATGGCATCTCCATCGCCGTGTGATTTTCTTCTGCAAAGAAGAGCAATTCAACTAAGCTTCGATCTCTCCCGTCAAAGCGTTCCTGTGAAACTCATCCAAAATGGCCGAAGACGGAGATGCCGAAAACGAATTGTTGGACTACGAAGAAGAAGAGAACGAAGCACCCGCTGAGGGAGCCCAAGCCGTTAAAGACCAGGCAAAGAAAGACGTCAAAGGAACCTATGTGAGCATACACAGTTCTGGTTTCCGCGATTTCCTTCTCAAACCCGAACTTCTGAGAGCCATTGTCGACTGTGGTTTTGAACATCCTTCAGAAGGTAAGAAAAAAAGTAGTTTCTTTATAGTTATTTCTTTAATTTTCGATGTTCTTAAGTAGCACAAATATAGTTCTATCCTTCTGTCGAATCGGTAACCGGATTTGCTTTGTTTTGGAATTCAATTTGTCTCTATATTTGGTGTTCAAACAAAATTTAACGTGTCTTGTTAAAATATTCATAACGTATTTTGATTGTCTTAGTCGTTTCTTTATTAATTGATAACCGAGTTTTCCTCATCTTTGATTCAAAATATATATATTCGGAACTGTACTTGACAAGGATCTAGACTAAGTATTTTTGTTTTATTTTTCGCAGTTCAACATGAATGCATCCCACAAGCCATCCTTGGTATGGATATAATTTGTCAAGCAAAGAGTGGTATGGGCAAAACAGCCGTGTTTGTCCTTGCTACCCTTCAACAGCTTGAGCCAGTTGATGGCCAAGTCAGTGTGTTGGTAATGTGCCACACGCGAGAGTTGGCTTTCCAGATTCATAAGGAATATGAAAGGTTTTGTAAGTACATGAGTAATATCAAGATTGCAGTTTTCTTTGGAGGAATTAACATCAAGAAGGATCAGCAGGTTCTGAAGACCAACTGCCCCCACATTGTTGTCGGCACACCTGGAAGAATATTGGCACTGACGAGAGAAAAGTCCCTTAATCTGAAACATACGAAGCACTTCATTCTTGATGAATGTGACAAAATGCTTGAACAGCTCGGTAAGTTCCAGCAATACCTCTAATAATACTTACAGTTTGTACCAAAGTCTACACAGTTTGAAAAAAAAAACTATAAGGTGTATTGTTAAAGGTGAATTAGAAAACTTACCATCTCTTTACATTGACTCCGACAAAGGACTAACGTCTGAAACGTCAGTCTACTATCTTTTGTACCTACGGTGATAAAATTATCTACTATGACACATTTGATCTCTTTACTGGCATTTTCATAAGCATGCAAACTCAGTAGTTGCAAGCTGTACGCTGAAATTTGGTTTTTCGCTGCCATCAGTCAAAACTAATCCGTCAGTACCTTTCATATTTTTGACTGGCGGCAGCGAAAAACCAAATTTCAGCATGCAACTCGCAGCTACAGAGTAACAGTCTAACAGCGTTAGGTTTCCTTCTTATTGACTTCTTGAATTCAACACAATATCTCAGTCTCAACTAGTTATTGTATGTATCATTACAGAATGACCAAAAGTTTATTTGAATCTGCTTCCAAAATATTTGTCACACAAAATGCTTTACAGAATAAGTCTTTCGTGGTGGAACCATCCTGAACAAAGTTGTCATAAATAAAGTTTATTCCATATTTACTTTTCCTGTTTTTAGTGCTGACCTAATGATGTGTTTGTGTTATTATTGTAGACATGAGAAGAGATGTTCAAGAAGTATTTCGCATGACACCACATGAAAAGCAAGTCATGATGTTCAGTGCCACCCTTCCAAAAGATATACGACCTGTCTGCAAGAAGTTCATGCAAGATGTAATTATATCACTACCAATCTTTCCAAATAATCCAATCAATAATGCTCTCCTTGTGTGCTAAATGTTGCCGTGGCAAAGCACTCACCCACTATGATCAGAGCTCTTGAGAGAATCAATCTCTGTAAATGGCAGAAGATGAGAATACCACATTGCATTGTAAATGTCTTCAGTTATCTGTGCAGCACAGCTGTTGAGGTTGTGGAAGTGACCGGTATGTTGTTAAAGTCTTGATTAAGATGGAAAAGATTGAGTTATGATCTAAAGTGGGTTTTTCTGTTCACTTTGAGGAATAATCAGTTTGTTTTGCAAGGATGTAAGATGTGGAAAACTTGGAGTTATTGTTTGTGAGGATAGGTCAGGTCACTTCCAAATAGTTGTGTTGACAAGTAGAATCATTGATGCTGCCAGATTTCTGTTTGATGTTTACTTCCGCAACCTGTGTAACTGGATAATACCAACTATCCAATGAAGCAAGCTTTACATAAGATGTACCCAGATGCTTCTAAAGTGCATGGGAGTGTGGCTCTTAATCGTCAGCTGTGAAGCAGGAGCTTTACCGGCATGAACCACCAAGCTGTCTCCACAAAAGACCAGCCAATGGCTACACTTCTGCTGGAGTTTTCTGATGTGTGTTCGTAGTTGTATTTGTCAGTGCAATAATTTTGTTGTACCTGTAGTTGTTACAGTTATGTTTACAGTCCTTTTCATGTTTTGCTATTATATTTGGTGTCTTCATTTTGTTTGACTATACCTTTTAGATTACCTTTTCTTTATTGTTTTTTATCCATGTCAAATTCTATTTGACTCACAGTCTTTTGTCTCGTGTGTGTCTGTGCGTTGTAGTAATAATCTCTTCTCTTGTTTATGGTGTCTTTGTCCATGTAACTGAAATTTCATTGTGTTCCAACTTGAATTGTTGTTTAGTTTTATTTTTAAAGCATCTTGTATCTCTAATATTTATGTTAAAGAATAAGTGGCCATAATAATTCTCTCAGTTCAGAGCTTTTATTCGATATTTATCCAAGTAACCCTTCAATTATGTTGTTCATGAAAGGAAAGGAAAAAAAAAAAACAAATCCAGTTGTGTTGTGTGGGTTTGCATGGCTAGACATTGATATCGATAATAGCATTAGATGATGTAGATGCAAACCATGTACTGTGCTTACATCAACAGCCAATGGAAGTATATGTAGATGATGAGACAAAATTAACCCTCCATGGGTTACAACAGTACTACCTAAAACTACAGGATAGGGAAAAGAACAGAAAACTCTTGGATGCTCTTGATGCTTTAGAATTTAACCAGGTTGGATATTAAGTGATTTAAGTTAGCATTGCTTGAAAGTATAATGTGAAAAGATGAAATTGTTTCCATACCCGTTTATTATTTCCCTTTTTTAACTTAAATTTACATATCCCTACCCCCCCCCCCCAAAAGTCTTCATTTACAGCCAGTAGCTGCTTTTCTCATGCTAGTAGTGTAACCAAGGCTGCAAAAAAATTCCCTATGAGGCTGTCATGTCAAGGGTTGTCTTGACATGCAGCTAGTCTAGTGAGGCAAAAGCCTCTATCAAATACTACAACTAAAGGCTATATGGGCTTGTGGTAATTCTGTCAGGTGAAACTGCTGAAACAACATAGCAGCTGCTATGTTTTGCCTTGTTACTTTTACTTGTCACTGGCAGCATATGATAGAAAGTTCTCCTTCGGAATTGGCAATCTGGAGTGAGAACATTTTTCCAAATCTAGAGTGAACATATTTTTTTATATTCCACATTCTAACAAGAGACCGGATCAGGGTATCTTGTCAGACTGAATGTTCTCGAGTCAAAACCACTAATTTATCAGACAATTGGTCAATGTCTTGCACTGATTTGCAGGCTTGTTAACCAATCGAAATTATCTATATATATTCAATAAACCAACTACCAGACAGGCATTTTCATCACGGCCTAAAATCTATATTGAAATTATGTAGGTGATTATTTTTGTGAAGACCGTACAAAGATGTGTTGCTCTTGCTAAGCTCTTGGTAAACCAGAACTTCCCAGCTATTGCTATCCACAGAGGAATGGCCCAAGAAGAACGGTATGTATGCCTTTTTCTGAATTCAAATTCAAATTTCTGATTTTTTAGCCAACTCTTATTGACAATCCCAATTATACAAGGGCCGCGAAGCGGCCTGAAAGTATAATTGAAATTATATTAACAAACGAAGTGAGAAATATATGAGAAAACAATAGGTAGAATCCTGCCATTTGTGCTTCGGACCACATTTTAACGCACTCCACTCCCCTAGAGTTTAAATATTGATGACGTAATCCCAGAATCCCGTGCTGCACTAAGTGCGAAGTCACATAGTACTTTTCATCTTTTTAACRCCTGTGTGAAGAGACTCCACGATGAGAAATATATGATGGGAATGACTAGTCATTTGTTAATATTTGACAAGTACGAGGGCGGGAGGGTATCTCATATATTTCTCACTTCGTTTGTTAATATAATTTCAATTATACTTTCAGGCCGCTTCGCGGCCCTTGTATAATTGGGATTATATTTCACAAACTCCGTTCGAAATATATGAGAAAACAATAGGTAGATTTTAACGCCCTCAACAATATGTCTGAATAAATGCAGACATTAACACAGTGAGTTTGTGAAATTAATACATTTATTCGTAACTTGAACGTATTCAACAATATAAATGACTTTGGGTTAGAAGAACTAAGCTTT